GATCAAGAACAAAAGAAAAGCATGTGGCAGATACCAAGCACTCAGCACCACAGAATCCCTACAGGATTATAATAAATGCAGGCAGAATCTTAGAAAGGAAAGTAGGAAAGCCAAGGAAGTGTGTGAGAAAGCTTTGGCTGGCAGAATAAAGGAAAACACAAAGGGGTGTTTTAAATATGTGAAGAAAAGAGAATAACTAGGGTAAGAGTAGGGCCCTTTAGGCACTGTAGGGGTAATGTGTGTGTGAACCCAGAAGATATGGGCACATTCATCAATGAATACTTTGCAATCAGTCTTCACAATGAGAAAAGATGATGCAGCTGGAGACATCAGGGTGGAAGACTGTAAAATTTTTAAAGAAATTAACAAAGAGAGAAGAGGTAGTCATAGGTTGAGCAGCCTTAAAAGTGGATAATTCTGCAGTCTAGGTAAGACATATCCCAGTCTATTGAGGGAGGCCAAGGAGGAAATACCACAGGCTCTGGTAGTAATTTTTAAGTCAGCTCTGGCCACAGACGAGGTACCAGAGGACTGGATGACTGATAACAATAAAACACTTCTGAAAAGAAAGGCAGGAATATGCGAGGAAGTTCCAGGCCAGCCAGTGTACTCTTAGCTTTGGGGAAGTTATTAGAAAGAATTCTGAGGGGCAGAATATATCTGCACTTGGAGAGACAAGACTATCAGAGATAGTCAGCATCAATACAGAAGGGAGATAGAGGGCTTGGTAATGTGGCGCAATGAGAACAAACCCTCTCTCAACGTCAGCAAAACTAAAGAACTGATCATTGCTAACGTTAATCTTGCCTAGCACACACCCTGTGCAATGTAACCTGAATGCCTCTGTCTAAATTTTTTTGATCTGTACATCCATTGCTTACTATGATCTGCCTGTACCACTCGTAAATAAAGCTTTTCACTGTACCTCAGAACACGAGACAATAAATCAAACAATTTAATAAGCAAAGATCGTGTTTGACAAATTTTATTTAATTTCTTGAAGTTGTTCCTGGCAGCGTTGATTAAGGTAATGCATTTGATGTGGTCTACATGGATTGTAGGAAGTTTTTGACACATTCCCTCATTGCAAACTGGTCAAGAAAAGAACAGCTCATGGGATCCAAGGCAAATGGTACATTGCATCCAAAACTAGCCGAGAGGCAGAAAGCAGAGGATGATGACAGTGACATGTTTCTGGAAATCTGTTTCAAATGGGATTCCACAGGGGTCAGTGCTGGGGCCTTTCTGTTTTTGGAGTACATTGACAATTTTCAATTAAATGTAGGGGTACGATTAACAAGTTCAGTTGGGCAGAGCAGTGGTAAATGGAACTGGGAGTTGAATTTTTTTTATCCAGAGGATGGTAGGAATCTGGAATACATTGACTCAAAGGGTGGTTGAGTCAGAAACTCTTGTATTATTTAAGCAGTAATTAAGATATTCACTTATGTTGCTATTTATTCCAGAGCTATGGAAAATGGGATTAGTGCAGTCAGATCTTTGTTGACTGGCACAGACACAATTAGCTGCATGGCCTCCTTCTGTGCTGTAAATATCTAAAAATCTGTAAGTCTATTAAACACAAAGAATTCCAAAGGTACCCAACACTTTCAATTAAGGCATTTTGGAAAAGAGCAAATGAGTTCTCCCCAGTGTTCTGGTTAATATTAATCTCTCAACTATCACGATATGTTATGTCATTATCCCATGTCTGTTTGTGAGGAGCTTTCTGCGTATAAATTGGCTGCTGCATTTTCTATATTACAAAAGTTGCTTGAGACATCCTGGGTCTTTCTTTATTCTGGTGAAGACAATGTGCTTTTAATTTGAATTTTTCAATTTCACAAATTAAACTATTTGAAATCAAGTATGAATTTGTTTTACTTGGGCTGTTGCATAAAAGCGTCTTTAATCCAGGTGATGTAAAACTGGAGATTCTACTCCAAACTGAATCTGCTGTAAATTTGCATCCTTCTGCAATGACAAAATTTTAACTATGATTTAATGTTTTGCTTTGCCCTGGATGTACAGATCAACGTTCAAACAGAAGTTTATGCTGAGATTGGTGCCACAAGTAAAATACATTGGGATAACTGTACATAGAACATAGAACATTACAGCGCAGTACAGGCCCTTCCGCCCTCGATGTTGCGCCGACCTGTGAAACCAATCTGAAGCCCATCTAACCTAAACTATTCCATTATCATCCATATGTTTATCCAATGACCATTTAAATGCCCTTAAAGTTGGCGAGTCTGCTACTTTTGCAGGCAGGGCATTCCACGCCCTTACTACTCTCTGAGTAAAGAACCTACCTCTGACATCTGTCCTATATCTATCACCCCTCAATTTAAAGCTACGTCCTCTCGTGCTAGCCATCACCATCTGCGGAAAAAGGCTCCCACTGTCCACCCTATCTAATCCTCTGATCATCTTGTATGTCTCTATTAAGTCACCTCTTAACCTTCTTCTCTCTAACGAAAACATTCTCAAGTCCCTCAGCCTTTCCTCATAAGACCTTCCCTCCATACCAGGCAACATCCTGGTAAATCTCCTCTGCACCCTTTCCAATGCTTCCACATCCTTCCTACATTGCAGTGACCAGAACTGTACGCAATACTCCAAGTGCGGCCGCACCAGAGTTTTGTACAGCTGCAACATGACCTCATGGCTCTGAAACTCAATCCCTCTACCAATAAAACCTAACACACCGTACACCTTCTTAACAACCCTATCAACCTGGGTGGCAACTTTCAGTGATCTATGCACATGGACACCGAGATCTCTCTGCTCATCCACACTACCAAGAATCTTACCATTAGCCCAGTACTCTGTATTCCTGTTATTCCTTCCAAAGTGAATCACCTCACACTTTTCCACATTAAACTCCATTTGCCACCTCTCAGCCCAGCTCTGCAGCTTATCTATGTCCCTCTGTAACCTGCAACATCCTTCCGCACTATCCACAACTCCACCAACTTTGGTGTCATCTGCAAATTTACTAACCCATCCTTCTATGCCCTCATCCAGGTCATTTATAAAAATGACAAACAGCAGTGGCCCCAAAACAGATGCTTGAGGTACACCACTAGTAACTGAACTCCAGGATAAACATTTCCCATCAACCACCACCCTCTGTCTTCTTACAGCTAGCCAATTTCTGATCCAAATTGCTAAATCACCCTCAATCCCATGCCTCCGTATTTTCTGCAATAGCCTACCATGGGGAACCTTATCAAACGCTTTACTGAAATCCATATACACCACATCAACCGCTTTACCCTCATCCACCTGTTTGGTCACCTTCTCAAAGAACTCAATAAGGTTTGTGAGGCACGACCTACCCTTCACAAAACCGTGTTGACTATCCCTAATCAAATTATTCCTTTCTAGATGATTATAAATCCTATCTCTTATAATCCTTTCCAACACTTTACCCACAACCGAAGTAAGGCTCACTGGTCTATAGTTACCAGGGTTGTCTCTACTCCCCTTCTGGAACAAGGGGACAACATTTGCTAGTCTCCAGTCTTCTGGCACTATTCCTGAAGACAATGATGACATAAAGATCAAAGCCAAAGGCTCTGCAATCTCCTCTCTAGCTTCCCAGAGAATCCTAGGATAAATCCCATCCGGCCCAGGGGACTTATCTATTTTCACACCTTCCAGAATTGCTAACACCTCCTCCTTATGAACCTCAATCCCGTCTAGTCTAATAGCCTGTATCTCAGTATTCTCCTCGACAACATTGTCTTTTTCCTGTGTGAATACTGACGAAAAATATTCATTTAGCGCCTCTCCTATCTCTTCGGACTCCATGCACAACTTCCCACTACTGTCCTTGACCAGCCCTGATCTTACTCTAGTCATTCTTTTATTCCTGAAACAGTTGGTAAGTAGGAATAACTGTTCTCATGATTCTGGTGAAACTAGCAAGACCGGGGCTCAATTTATCTTTGACTGATAATGTAAAATGGGCAATATTGCAAAATGATCAGAAAAGACGCATAACCACAACTGAATCAATATGTCCTTTTATACATAACTGGCTGAAGTTACAATTATCCCACCTCATGTAATGGCATGTTCTTCCAACCCACAATATCTTGTGGATCATTTCTTTGGCCCATGCAGAGAAGACACGGATACCAATGATGGAGTAATTAAAATCAAAATTCAGGAGATCAGAATTAGAAGATGGGCAGACATTTCAGAAGATTGTGGACTGGAAGAGATTGCATCGGATGAGCTGGGAGAGTTCAAGATAATAGAGATTGGTGAAAACAAAAACAATCATTTTAGTTTTGTGTTGCTGTTTAACCAAGAGCCAATGTCAACCAGCAAGGACAGAGATAATGACTGAAGAGGACATGGTGCACTTACGACAGCTGAGCTTCCATGCTGTCAACTTTATGGGGTGTAGAATGTGACAGGCTGGCTAAGAAGGTGTTGAAATAGTCAAATCTAGAAACAACAATAAATGGATGAGGGTTTCTGTAGTGGACGAGCTGAGACAGCACAAGTGTCAGGCAAAGTCACGGAGGTAAATAAAAGGCAGTTTTAGTGATGACATAGATACGTGAATTGTAAGCTCATCTTGGGGTCAAAAGATTATGTATAGTCTAATTTAGCCTCAAAGACAATTGTCAAAAACAGGAAAGCAGTCAGTAGCCAGGGAGCAGAGTTTGTGGTAGGGACTAATGACAATTTCATTTTCCCAATGTTTAATTGCAGAGAATTTCTGCTCATTCAGTCCTGGCTGTAGGAGAAGTAGTCTGATAATTTAGAAACAGTGGAGGAGTTAAAAGTGCTGATGAAAAGGTCGAACTGGGTGTCAGCAGCTAAAACTATTCAAAAACTATTGTTGCATTTTGTACAATGGTACAACATCTCTATGTTTTACAGATGTTTATTAAATACTATTAATGTTGATCATTGACACAGTAATATGAATTCGGATCACGCATTTTATTCAAACACTGAGAATTAACATATGTTACCTGTGGCCAAATACATAACATGGAAGAGCATGTCCTTTCCTTGCACAACATCCACCACTATGTGGGAAAACCGACTGTTGTCTTCCATGAAGAAAGGCATAGGAAAAATGGGCTGCACTACTTCATGCATAAGAATAAACTTTTGAGCATCCTGGAGGCTCCTGTCTGTGAGATTCGCATAAGGACCGGAATCAATAGTACCGCACTAAAAAAGCAGACATTTAAAAATGTAAGTATCTGTTGGAAATCATAAATAAAAGAGTAATGAGAAATCATTGAGATACATTAAAAATAAGAAGTAATTCTCACAGAATCTTGCTGCAGAATCTGAAAAATAATGCGGCAAAATCATGGCAAGCTTCATTTCAGTAATGAGAGTCGTAAATACCTGAAAGTTAGGATTAGGATTGGTAAAAGGCAGCCATGCTGAATGGGAATTCTCCTGGAACTTGAATGGCCCAGCAAAAACCTGAGTAATGGCACTCAGGTTAAACATGCAGACAGCTGAAGCCGCTATGCTATTCCTGTAGGAAATATGCCCAAGTATAATTAAGTAATCTTGATAAATATCATTTTATTTTAGTCTATGCCAGTAAATATGGGTGCAACATCTGAAAGAGAAAGATGCATCATAAGAGAACACAATGCAACACAGAAAAAACAAACTGCTAGAGAAACTCAGAAGGTCTGGCGATATTTGTGGTGAGGAAACAGTTAACGTTTCAAGTCCAGTGACCTTTCTTCTGAGTGTTTCAGTTTGCCAGCATCCACAGTTCTTTGTTTTATTTTAAACAGTACCTTCAGTTGTCTGTTACAACATTAGAAATAAGAGCAGAGGATGTCATTTGGCCTCCAAGTCTGCTCCACCATTCAAAAGATCAGAGCTGCACTTTCCCACCGGCCATCCACTACTCTTGACTCCCTCATCAAGTATAAATCTCTGCAACACTGTATTGAATGTGTTCGCTGTCCCAGCCTCCACTGCTTACTCAGGAAGGCAATTCAATATACTCACAGCCTTCAGAGAAAATATTCCTCTTCGTCTCTCCTAAACTGGAAGCCCCTTGTTCCCTAGGTCTAGATACACCCCCTATTAGAGGAAACCTTCATTCAGTATCTACTGTCAAGGTCCCTCAGAATCATACATGTTTTAAAAGATCCCCTCTCATTCTTCTGAACTCCAGTGATTGCAGGTCCAAACTACTCAACATTTCCTCTAAAGACAAACCCCCTCATTGCAGGAATCAGTCTAATGAACCATCTCTGAACTGCATCCAATGCAAGTATGTCTCCCCTTAAATAAATTGATTGAAACTTCATGTAGCACTCTAGACTCAGTCTCAGCAATCCCCTGTAGAGCTCTAGCAAGACCTCGTCACTTTTATGTTCCAGTTACATTGCAATAAAGGGCAAGATCCAATTTGCATTCCTGATTACCTGCACACTGACTTTTAGTGATTCATTTATGAGAGCATCAAAATCCCTGTGTACTCCAGAATTCTGCAATCTCTCACTCTAGTTAGATACTCTTCTGCCTTTCAATTCTCCCGGCCAAAACAAACAATCTCACATTCTTACATTTTCCCACATTATACTCCATCTGCTAGACGCCTGCTTTAAACTTAAAACTACCTTTATTCTTTTGCAGTCTTTTTGTATCCTCCTCATAAATTCTTCCCTAGCTTTGTCTTAATTCCTTAGTCACTAAGGAATGAGGAGTTATTGAAGCCCCAGCTTTCCATTAGTTACAGTTTACCATACTGAATAATGAAGCATTCATCCAGTTTCCTGCTGGTTAGCCAGTCCTCCATCTATGCTAATCTATCACCCCAGCACTATAAGCTTTTGCCTGGTGAAATATTTTATGTGGCACCTTGTCAAAATGCCATTTGGAAATTCAAATTGAATACTCTTCATTAACGATTTGTTCCATCCAGAAAAATCTCTAAAAAGCTTGTCAAACCCAATTTCCCCATCACAAAGTTGTGTTAACAGTGACTGACTGTATTATGTTTTTCTAATTGCCCTGCTTTTATGAACAAAAACAAAGTTGCCGGAAAAGCTCAGTCAATCTGGCAGCATCTGTGAAGGAAAAAACTGAGAGTTAACGTTTCGGGTTTGGTGACCCTTCCTCTTCCCCTTCTCCTGCTTTTATCCCTTTCATAATGAATTACAATAGCTTCACAATTACAAATATTGGGCTACCTATCCTCATACAAATATGGTAAAGTTATCATAGTTACTTACACATTAGTGGTGAAGATTCCATACAGCATGTCTTGCTCAGGTAAAAAGAAAGTGCTTAGCAGCTCATTGTAATAAAAAGGAATTTCACCCGGACGAGAACAATTTAGTCGAGCTTTCATGAAGGTTGTCCAGGTATCCTCCAGGAGAAATCTCCCTCCAATATCATTTTTACACACTCTGGCCACTCTGGAGAAAATATTTTTTCCACAGTCATGTTCCACTGCATTCTCCCGAAAAAAGAAATAGGTGAAGTTTCCAATGTCATAGGATGACACAAAATTTGGCTCTGAAAAATTGTAAAAAGCAACAAAAATCACAGTAATGAAACCTCTTGGACATAGAATCCCTACAGTGTGGAAGCAGGTCATTCAGCCCATTCAGCCCACACCAACCTGAAAAGCATCCCACCCAGACTCAGCCCTATCCCTATAACCTTGCATTTTCCATGGCTAATTCATCTAACCTACACATCCCTGGACACTTTGGGCAATTTCCCATGGCCAATCCACCTACACACCTTTGGACTGTGGGAGGAAACAGGATCTCCCAGAGGAAACCCACACAGACCCAGGGAGAGCATACAAACTCCACACAGAGAGTCACCTGAGGGTGGAATTGAACCCAGGTCCCTGGCACAGGGAGGCAGCAGTGCAAATCACTGAGCCACCAAGCCGTCCCAATGCACTTTTCTGCAGCTCTTGGAATAGAATGATTTCTCCATTCAAGGAACAACATGAGGAGGCTGAGGCCTGCTGGTATTAATTAAGAGACCCAAATAATCTTCTGGGGACCTGTATTCAAATTCCTGCCATGGCAGATGTGAAACACATGCAGATGGTAGAGATAGGCTGCAATTAGCCTTTGACATCTTTCTGGGGTTCTGCAAAACTGAAGAATTCTGCCAACTGAAGAATTTTGTGGCCACTGATGAGCACAATGGCTAACCTCACAACCAAAACATATAATTTAAAATATTGTGCCCAGAGTATCAGTTCGTTTTTTTTCCTTATTGATGGATGGGATGTGGATGTCGCTGGCTGGCCAGCAGTTATTGCTCGTCCCTAGTTGCTCTTGAGAAGGTTGTGGTGAGCTGCCTTCTTGAACTGTTGCAGTCCATAGGTAACAAGAGCAGCTAGCTGGACCTCACAGAATATGAGTTCTCTAATTGAGGCTGTGAATCTAGTCCAATCAGGGAGCCCTGGCTGATATAAAAAAGTTGAGTGTCGCTGGTGCCTGACTCCGTATGAGGCAATACTTTAGTGAGGGACTGTTCACATGTAACTAAAGGGTAACTTGGTGACGGGATACTGACTTCTATAGAGTTATTTGAGACATTGAAGAAACGGCAACATATTTCCATGTCAGATGGGGAACTTGCAAGTGGTTGTGTTCCCATGTATCTGCTATCCTTGTCCTTTTAGCTGCAAGTGATCATGGCCCTGAAAGGTGCTGTCTAAGGATCTTTGGAAAATTTCTGAAGTGCATCTTGTAAATCAAACATATTGCTGGTACTGAGTGTTGGTGGTGGAGGGCGTGGATGCTTGTGGATACATTGCCTGTCAAGCAGCCTGCTTTATCTTGAATGGTGTAAAATTTTTTTAAGTGTTGCAGCGAACAGAAAAGGAACTGGTGCAACCCACTTCTCCTGATGCAGTAATTTCATGAGCTGTAATCATTGCACAATTGAAACTTCTGGTCTAAGGACCTTTAGCAACAATTAATACCGCCATTTTAATCAGTAAGGACTTGCAATTTATATTGACAGGATGCATATAGACTTTTTCTCGAAGATGGAACTTCCAGTCTGAGTATTTTTAAACCTAATTTCATATTTATTTTTCATATTGAAGTAAACCCTGTGCAAGCTGGAATGGGCACATGTTGGTTCCCAACCCATTGCTTGGAAAATTGGGCACCATGCTGTTCAATTGCACTCGTTCACTGGTGGGACAGCCTCAGAAAAATGGTCCCTGTCTAGACTTGTTTATCGTTTTCCAACCACTGTTGATCCATTCTCATTCAAAGGCCTTAAGGATCATTAGGTTCATAATCTCTTTGTGATACACTGCTACAACAAAAGTCTATGCCTGTCGATGCTCACCATTCAGCCATTTTGAGTTGTATTGAGCAGTGCGCAGAGGAGGAAGCCCTCCCAGGCTCCGATAGATGGCAGGGTCTCTCCCTGGGAAATCCATGGCTGTGGCAGCATACAGTTCTCCAGTGGATGTAATGAGAGCAGTGGAATTGTGTTGAGGATTGTATGGACAGCGAGCCATGCCACTGATGCGATCATGGATTTCTGTCAAGTCAGTTAGCTGCAAAAAGTAAACAACCCAATAAAAATGTAAGAATTGACCACTTCCAAGACAATGATAACATTTCAACATTCTTTATCATAGCAGATGCTCTCTGCAATGGACATGTTCCAAAATAACAATGGGCACTCCTTAATAACATTTCAGGCAGAAGCTTCCTATATACTTAACTTCTAGCCTTCATACAGTTGCTTGTCTACAAAGTAGATGTTACAATAGGGGATCCCAATAAAGCACAAGAAAATACATTTCAAAATACAGCAGCTCACCAAAAGTCCCTGACCACTGGTGGCAGCCCCAGGAAGCAGCAGAAGCGGGGATGGAAAATAAGTGAATCTTTTGAGCATCTATGCTTTGTTCCTGCAAGGAAGAAGTGATCAGCAGTAGCTGTGCGATGAATTAGCTGGTCAGAGTGATGAGACAAGAATAAGTCCCATCACTCAAATATGCCCTCATTTACTGCCACATTTATACCTGCTTTTGGGCAGGACTGCAAAGACAACTTGTATGTACTGTGCTGGTTTATTTGCCAAAGTAAATGCAATCCTCAATTACAATATGGTCTTTATGTTTAAAACAGCATTGATGAATTAAATCTAAAATAATAGTTTCTGTTATGTATCTCCATCTTTTTATTAAGGATGGGGCTAATTACGCTGATGGACACCAAAGAAAAGAACACTCGCCCATGTTTTTCCATTTGTAGACTATATCAGAACGTTCATCTCCAATTCCGATCCAAATTCAGAAAGATACATAATTAATCCATGCTGGAATCTCAATTTCCAAGCCAACCATGCTAATGGGTAATCAGTCTGATTATTCAAGACAATCTTGTGTTATGAAACCATCCAAGCAATTTTCATGTTGGTCTTCATGGCTGACACAGAGACCAGATCTTTATTGTTCTATAAATGGATCTGACCACAGCTTCCAGAAATGAAAAGTATGTTAACCAATCTCTCAATCACAATTTGACTTTCAACACAGAGAACATTGTGATAAAAGATGGCCAAGAAGTAAATATCCGTCTTCAAGTAAAGAACTCTTTGAAACTGCACTGCAGGACTAATAACTGCCCAACTAACATGAAATTAGTTCTTATTCTTTATAATTTTCTTGATTAGCTTTCTGATTGAAAAACTATCCTAAAATGTCAATTTTGCTCATTAAAGCAAACACAGTCCCAGATCCACATCAATTTCATCAAGCATCCTGCACTCCTTCATGGAATATTGAATTACATTACCTGGCCTCTTACAACAACTCCATTGCTAATTCCTCTAGTTTCAGAGACAATAGCAACTGAAATAACTCCACAGAGGCCAGTATCCTGTCACCAAGTCACCCTTTATCTATGCGTGCATATGCTTGACACTGGTCCAGCTTCTTCAGAGCCAGCTCTCAGAGTGAACAGAACCTCTGACATTGCTGTTTATATCTGTCAGCCAGGACTCCCTGATTGGACCAGATTAACAGCCCCAATCAGGGAACTCATATTCTATGAGGTCTACCTGGCTGACCTCATTACAATCACTACAGCCACATTACATCATATAGCATTGCTAAAAAGACACACACAGTCTTTTTGTTTTGCACTCATCAGGACTAGACTCAAGAAGAAATTTTGAAAAGGAACACCAATTTGTACAGCTTGAGAAGTTGCTGTTTGATGGAACCTTGGGTAGCATGTAGAAGAAGTTGGATCTATTAACTGACAATCTTAGCTAGCTGATTACCTCAGACAAGGCAGGTAGCCACTGAATGGTCAAGGTGTTGCTATGGGGAATATAGCAGGGATTTGCAGTCTCAATGATTCTTTCTCAATGCAAAAGGTGCAATATACTTACAAGCTCCTTTTGTTACACAGAAAATGGTCCTGTGTATTCTGTGCTACGGATAACACCAGAAGAAAGAAAATTAGGCAGACAAAGGAATGGTTGATATTAAGCCAGGGAAGAAGCAAAGCTGAAAGCAGGGACAATGAGTAGGTGAAAATGAGTTGCCTGTGTTCAAAGCAGCCCAAGTCATGACAGGGCCTAAGGTGTGAGAGTGTGGTTAAAGGACACAGGAGGTGGTGTCCAGGTTTTAAATTATTGAATTTGATATTGCGTCCTGAAGGCTGCAGGGTCCCTTGGCAAAAGATGAAATGCTATGATAACTTCAGCCATTGCAAGAACCGAACCCACGCTGTTGGTGTCACTCTGCTTTGCAAACCAGGCAGCTAGCCAACTGAACTCACCAAACCACTTTATAACTATATGTAATACACCTAATAATAGAATCACTGATGTCTATACCCATCCCATAAATCACTTCAACTGCTCTGTCATGGTTGATAACATTATCAGATGCTTAACTGATTAAATTACCGTCATCTGTTAATATATCTGTGCATCTTTTTAACCTGTTAAAAATGGGTATACAATTAAAATAGAGTTAAACTCTTTTGAACTGTATTTTAAGAAAATTACAAGAAGATATAAATTAATCACATCCAGGAAAGATTTGTGATATATTGGATGAACTCGAATCTAAATGCTGCTGTATATTTGAACATCATCAATCACTGTCACAATCTCAGTTAATGATAAATAATGTAATTAAAAAGGCAGAGAGCAAATTGATTGTAATTACCGTCCGATTGGTACATATTGGAGTAAATGCATTTGTGCCACAGGTGAAGATCCTGTTGCTATTTATGAGGAGGACACGAATATAATTCTGACATTCCTCCTGAAATGAAGTTTTAACACATAGAAATCACAAAAATATAAGGCTCAGCTTGCATTGCATTCTTTCGACTGTTGTGTAATAACAGATCGCAAATGAAAATTACTATTGTGCAACTGAATCAACTGAAAGAATCACATGTCAGTTGTTGGCATTGTCTGATCCTTTAAACTCTAGTAAAAATAGGCCTAATCGACACAACCTCAACTCATATGACAATCCTCCATCCCAGAATTTTCTTCTTTCATATGCTTTTCCTGGAATAAGGGTGGCCCGTACACCCCAGTCAGCTGGCAAAGGCTTATCTTCCCTTACGGTGGGGCTAAAATTTTCTAGTCAAAAGATTTTGAATTTAGGCAGTAGTGAATTTAAAGAAGTGGCTTTTAAAAACTTGGCATACTATGTGCAGAAGCATAATCTTTGATTTTGAAACTGTCACAGCCTTTCAGTTCATCCTTTGCTATAATCTAAAATAGCACCATCCAGTGCACATCACAAACTGAGTTTCTTTTGAAGGAGTGACATATTGTTATCCAAAATAAAGAAGAAACTAAGTCTTGGTTTGAGGGAAAAGCAAGAAGAATAACACGTACATTACTTTCTAAAAACAGCTAATTACAAAGGCTTTAGATATTTAAACAACAAGTGTTGAATGCCAATGATAATTATTTCAGTAGAGACCTGAAACCACTGTACCCAGATTCAAAACTCGTCCTCACATTAACATATTAAAAAACCATGCAGCATGTGTACCCAGTAACAGATGCTATATATTTCTTCTAAATTCTAAAATTCCAGAAATGTTACAACCATAAATGTTTGGTATTCATGGTATTAAAATGCAACGTGGCTTCTTTCTAAATGTGCCTTTGGTTCTGACCAGAAATACTTACATGGCTGCTGGCAAGATACCAAACTGTGAAGGCGCAGCCTGAGCTCCCACTCACCTCACAGTACAAAATCTTGCCTTATTCCCTACAGCATAATCACCACCTACCTCCGTTTTTCCTTTACTGAAACAACTCTTTTTTGTTGTTTCATCTGAGAGCCATTCCACTCCCTAAAGAGAGGAGGAAAAATACCACAAGGTTACAATTAAGGCAACATCCAGCTCATTAACACATTTCTCAGAGCCTACGCTGACTGTATCCTGACCAATGATTGTTTTAATTATGAAATACCTCACTGTCTTTATGAATAGTAATTCCACAAATTTAAGGTAGCCACATATACACATTGAAAAACATTTCAAATTAATTGATGCAATAGTGTGGTATGGCAGGTTTCATTTATTAATATCAATAAGCATGTATTACTAACAGATGTTCTTTAATTCCTACACAGATGGTGTAGCTGAGTATCGCAAGGGAAGTCAAACACAAGTGTTGAAACATACTCATTGCGAATGCATATAAAATAAGGTTCTATAAAATTCCATAACTTTTCCATTATGAAACACTAACAGTCTCCGCTTACATGTTCTCAAAGATGATGAAAATGTTCTTACTCTTTTAGTTTTAGGCTTTTTGGACAGTTCAACATCCTCACAAAATACTGATACTGAAAATTTGACATCCTGAAGAGTGCTATCTATTGAAGAAAAAGCTTCAATTTGACACAAGTGGTAAGATTCATACAGCTATAACATTACACCATTGTTAAAATTCCAAAATTTATCAGGGATGAAACTGCTGACAGTTTTCACTGAAATATCTCTGGCAGGACCTGGGCTGAACACCTCAAGAAGTAGTCCAGAGCCAGTAGCTTCAGGCCTCTGCCACTTCTGTGAGTTCCCACTTATTCTATAAGGGTGACACCTCTGCCAACTTGTTATTAGGCAAATGAAGCCACAGCCTGGATGCAGCTCCTTTAAATCAGTCAGTCCCTTGCATTATCAAGGGAGGCAGGTATATCAATTGAGACGAGGTCAACTGCCTCAACAGTCGTTCACTTATCTTTTTGGTTGAAGGACCTCTTTTCAAATGGATTAGTAACAATGGGCTACCTATCTAAATTATAATACACTACAACGATCATAACACAACGGTGTTACACATACAATGTATTTTAATAGTGTTTTTAAGAAAACAGGTATTTATTTAAATGTATCAATTTAAGGACTAATTCAAAGACGTAGATGATACAGACCAAACAAACCAGATATTAAGGATAATGTGTAATTTCAGTAACATTCCAGTACACGGTAATTAAACGTTTTCAATGAATACCCAATCACAACCAACACAAATCAGTGTTAGCAGTCTCATCCCTTGTAGCTATTTAATAGGCTCAAAGCAAGTTACTATATAATGTTTTTAAAAATTTTGCATAAATATCTAAATGTTCCCTTCCATCCAATTTAATTGCAGAGTTGCTGACATGAAGGTGACGCTATCATGAATACTTTATTGTCCTGTGCAAACCAATCCAAATTCTTAGTGTTATTTAGTACTTTGAGGAAATAGCTTTATTGTAACATGGCAAAAGATTTGAAGTAGCCCACAATGACAGCTTTTCCATGATTACAATAATCAAGCAAGGGACAAATATAAACAGAAATGCTCAGGCAGCATTATAATGGCACTTGCTCACTGCTGGGGTTCACATTCAGTATCACATCAGCAGCTGCCTCCACCACCACTCCCCTGGAACCAGAGGTCAAAGTGAGATCCACCGCTGAAAGCTGAGGTGCTCATTACCACGAGGAAGTCAGAGTATTTGCAAGCTTTGGGGTGGACTTCTTGTTATTACTTGTGTGGATCCATTAATTTCTATTCATTTATACAAAGGTTGTCTTCTTTTCCATCTCCTTTCCTCCACTTTCTGTTTTTTCACTCTCCTCCACCAGGGTGATTATTTAGTGAACCCCTGGAAAGACTCTACAGACCCACTGCTCTAAAAACTGGGGGGGGGGGGTAGCCTGGCTGAGGAAGCAGTCTAGGTTCTGGGAAAAAAAGTATTTTTCAAAAATTATTTAAAATATTGGTTCTTGTGGGGTTCACAGAGAGAATGAACAAAAGTTGGGGTTGACCTGGGTAACATGCCTTCTATCAGAGGAATGCCTACCTTGTGCCCCCATCTGACCCAAGGCAACCATCCTCTTGCTGACCCCATGCCATCTGATGGCATCTACACTGGAGGACATCAATGGACAGAATCCCAATGCAGATTCTCAACTCACCAATTTCTACGGAGTCAGGATTTTGAGGCATTTAGTACTGTAATAATTAAAGATCAGTAATCGCAATGTTAAAAAAAAACCTTAGTGTTTCAATGAAGAGAACTAATTCAGCCACGTTGCTGATGCATTGCTGAGTGGCTGCAAACTTTAGCAAGAGCCCAGGGTCATTGAGCTAGTGGGAAGCTGACACTATATAAAGCTAGCTAGCGTTCATGACCTTATAACCAGATTGAATCACTGGAAAACAGTCCCAGATGGCAGCACGCTACCAGCCTACCACTATGCTGCACATAATGTAATGACCTAATTCATGTCACTAAGGTCCGTGAATGCATGCTCACATGCCTTATGTGACCAAGTGCACCATTAGCCTCATGCACTGCTCTATTCAGCACATCCCTTTTACAGGGCTACAAATTATAACTCAAATCTCTCAGTCATATTTCCCTTCTTCTTATGCATTTAGTACTGCTGCAAGCCACACACTCATATCCCACAGCTTAGACATTGACTACTATTCAACTACGGCAAGAACATCACTTATATGTGGTATCACATTAATTGCCACACTTCCTCTCTCTGCAGAACTACATGGTCCATAACACACAACAGCAGTAGCAAAATAGTTTGGGAGGTGCAGGGAGGACAGAAGAGACAGGCACAGCTGCCTGTACTGAGCCCAAAGCAATAGATGGTGTTTGGAACAATAAGAACAGACAACACTGAGGCAGTGAGAAGCGTGGTAGCTGAAACCATCAAGGATGATGGAATCTCCCCCCAGTTCACCTTCTCAAATCCCACTTCACCCTCATCCCAACATTAAAAAAGTTATAGATAGTGCAGCCACTCATTCAACTCTTGCTTCCTGCATCATTCCCTCACTCCAAACCTGTCATTGTTTAGTTAAGTTTTGCCATCCCAAATATTGACACTTAACCAGGCAGTGACAACTGTGGACGTCAGCCTCCAGGAGAACAGAAATTTACTTCGAAACTTGAGCCACCAGCTCAGATACTGGCATTGAATGTCTTTCAGAGTGTCACAGCTGGGCAATAGTCTGTCCTACAAATTACTGAGATCACTGGTCTGTCAGGGGGCGGACACTGCCTCTGTGAAGCACCAACCTGCTGGCCTCTTCCCGGAAGCCAGGATTTGTGTTCCCAACACTTTTAGGAACACAGCTCCCACAAGAGTCGCTCCCAGCTACTCTT